TGGATCAGTATAATCCATCGCCCCAATGGATTCCGTCACTATTTGCAAAAACTGTATTTCGAGCCGAAAATCGTAAGGTTTGTTCGACTCCAATGTCAGTCTTCTCCGAGACCGGAAATCGGAGCCCTGTCGGAATTCAAGGCATCTCACATAGAGCTCGTCGGTTTTACCTTTGACGGGTACTACGCCCCGGCGAAAAATGTAGCTTCATTCAAGTCAGGAGCTCTGATCGATCGATGCTCGAAAGGGCGCAACGAGATGATTGGTGGGACGTCCACAGACGATCTTGCTGGTTCGGGCTGGACCGAGCATGAAATCGGTGGCGAGCCGATCTCCCTCCAATTGCCGCAGCCGAACGCGGTGAACATCATCGAGATGCAGCTTCCAGAGGAATACGTACAGCAATACGCCTACTACCTCGAGACCTCTACAGATAACGAAAATTGGATCGAAGTCATAGAACGCAGCGCTGACAATTCATTGCGAAGATTCGAGTTTCCGACGCGGGCGGTCAGCTTCATCAAAGTCGTGAGTACAGCATCTCCGGATAACCAGGTGCGTGATTTGTTTGGAATGGAGCCAGTTTGGCACCAAGTTTTAAGTTTTCCCCGGTCCGTCACAGAATCTCAAGGCTACTGCGTAGCAAGTTCTTTTGTTCTTGTAATTGAGCAGAACTCCAGAAGTTATAATCGGCAGAGTAGGGTAATAGTACCAGTTATGGGACACTTCAGTATTTTTCCATGGAAGTCTTCCTAATTATGGAACACCCAGACACTCAGGAACCAGTTATGGGACTCTCCGGGACCAATTATGGGACAGTTCTAAAAGTCAGCCTAAGAGGAGCGGCCGTATGCGCCAGTCTTGATCTCCGGACTTATGCTATATAACCGAGAACCACGTCAGTCCGAATCCCCTATTGTATTGGTATTCGGGAAAGCTCCGTCGTTTCTAAACCTCGAAAGTGCCGCCCTGTGTTTTCTAGCGGCTTTCCGATCCCTATGTTTTCATTTTGATCGCAGAGCCAATCAGATTCACCGTCGTTGAAAATGAACCAAGTTATTTGAAATTGAGAGGAGTCGATGTTCAGAAAAACGAAGGTTCTTTATCGAATTCGCTCCGTTGAAGGATAACAAATCAATGATAGATCAGATAGCAAATATCCATTAGCCAATAGCATTGAT